TCGAAGGAAGTAGCTCGCTGAAATCCACCAGATCTAAGCAGATGTTAATTAATCGATTTAGATCCCAACATGTCGGCAAGATCACTGCCTGTGATCGTGATAATTGCCGCGTCACGCAACAGCCTTAGAAATCCGCGCTCGTTTTATTTCCCTTTATTATATAGGTGCACGCGGCTTGACTGGCTGTTGCGCAATCGATTTCTCGCCGCATTATCGCACCACCACGGAGATCTTTTTCGACTTTTTCTTTCTTTTCGCGGTTGAACACCGTCTAATCCGTTCGATCTCTTAATGAAATTAGACCCGGTCTAATAAAGCATCTCGAGAAGAATCATTTAATCTCTGGTGATTAAATGATTGACACGTTATAAGCTTCGCCACGAAAAGGGAAAAATTAAAGAATGGACTTATATATATATATGGTTATCTTCGGTTTAACGCGTTCATATAACACAGTGGATGAAACTGTGTTCATTGAAATAGCCGGCACTCGAGGAAACTTTAGGGAGTTGCTCTAGGGCGGTAATTCGTTGCGAAACTTTGCTCTAAAAACGAGAATCGCGGAAGGAAAAAAGAAAAAGATACGCGTTTGAGATATTAGCTGAAAGTTTTATGGAATTTTTAAATCGTGCTGAAAGTATTCTTTAGATATGTTTTGAGAAATAATGAAAAAAGAGCAAAGGATTAGTTTTCGACACGGATTAAACAACGATTATTGAGAGAGAGAAAGATTCCTCGATAAATAATAATAGTAATTAACGGGAGAGAAATTATGTAAGTATGAAACATCGAGTTTTATTTTTTTTTTTTTTTGCGCGCAAAAAGTATTCACGAACTATGCCGTTATATTGCAGCGCCCCCTTCGTTTCTTTTCATTGGTGGAAATGTACAAGCATGTACACGATTTACGCCACTTTTGCCTCGATTTACCGTGGACACCAGGTTTAATTAAAATCGGCAAAGCAAAGGAGAAGGACCTTACCTTACCGGAGGTTTGACACTCCGCGCTTAGCTCCTTTCATTTTCCGGATTCCTTTCTTTGTTGAGTCTCGACCTCGCGGACTTAATCGACCGAGGAAAGCCCGTGACTTTTTCGCGATCACCGGTTAGTACATTCTTGGCCATAAATAAGTTGCTTTAAAATAGATAAGTTTAATTAAACTTTGCGAATTTCTAATTTGATAAATCCAAGTGAATAATATTTCTAATTATTTCTTTTTAAACTCGTTTTTCTGAATAAATTTTTAATAAAGTCAAGTTTTTGCTTAAGATTATAGATTCGATATAAATGAAATGAAATCAATATCGACACGAATATTAACGAATGTGTCGATGAACGAACAATGTCGATGTAATCAATCGAATAATTGTCGGTCAGCAATAACTTGCCGCATAAATTCACCCCAGCCACCTTTCACCTCGTCGAACAAAGAAACGTAGCTTCTTTCCTTCTTCTTCTTCTCTTTCTCTCTCTTTTTTTCACATTCACAAAGAAGGCTGCGACAAAAAGTAGGAAAGAAGATAGCCGAGACAAGAGGTGGCTAGGCAGGAAGCCGCGACTCCGCAACCTTGCCATTGAATTAGAATTTCCAAGTCGTTAATTTCAACTGGCTTCTCCTCTTCGTGTCTCCTCCTTTTCCTCCTCCGCAAGAAAAGGACGAAGGAAACGCCTCTCCCATGGGGATGGGAGAGAAGATCTTAGCGATCGGCCGCGTTTCTTTATTTTTCTTTCCTTTCCTTTCCTTTTCTTTTTTTCAACTCGTGGCCAAGTCCATTAATCCGTTGGATAATTTCTTCAGTATTTCCATCCAGTTTCATCCACGCTCGATTAACTCCTCTTTGGCCGAGTCCAGTCGAGACCTTGGCGCATTCAGCCGGCGTTGGCGATTGCATAAGGCAACGCCTACGCTCTTCTGTTTTGTATCAACGTGAGTGAATCGCGCCTGTTTTCCTCGCGTGTGTTTTTCATTACCGCGAGTAATTCTTTGTACTTGTTAGTACGGGAATTCCATTCTCGTTAGTCTTTTTTTCGCGCTTGTTAAGGATGAAGAACGAGCGCGGTTGGCTGGTTGAATGGCGTAGATAGGCTGATGCAAGAATAATTTTATACCTTTCGTTTCGTCGCTGTGTTGTTTGTAATATGGTATCAGGATCTTTCTTCTTATTTTTCTTATCTTTCTCCAACGTCTCGACTTTTATTGAATTTTCGAGACGATAGTTCAATTTTCAGACAGTTTAATATCTCTTTAAATAATTTTATAAAGTTGTCGAATTTATTGAGGTTGTTTCTTCTAGTTTGAGTTTATTCTCAAGATATATTTTATAATTAAAGAAAGAAAGAGATGAGGGTAATGTGATCCTCTAGTTTCATTATATTTTTTTCCCCCAAAGCTCAGTTTATAATTTAAATTGCTGTAATTTTTTCCATACAGCTACGCTTCTTTGTTTCTTTGTATATAATACTGTCTTGCCAGTAAAGTAAATGCTTCGTTATAAGTATGAAAATCGAAATGAGTCACGATACACTTCTCCTCTATCAAAAGGTATTTTGAAATACCCAAGAGAAATCCTTATTGTTTCTTTTATTTTTGAATTAATATTCGTGTAACTTTAAGAAAATTAAAATATCTCATACTTCAAAGTAAATTTAACAATAGATACAGCTATTTAGAAATCCTAGAAATGATATATTGCGTGTATACACTTGTTTTCAACAAATCGGTGGTAAGAAATTTCTTATGCGATCCTCGATACGCATCTTGTGGAACTTAAAAGGTCAGAGAAACAATGACTGCTCGCAAATGGTATTA